AGGAGTTTATATGAATGTATGTCTGAGGGGAACTTGCTGTCTTTCGATGGTATTTTTCTTTTCATCTTGCCTCTGTATAATGCATATTAAAGTTCATTAGTGCAGCGCTGCTTTGTTTACAGCGGAAACCAAGCGCCACCTGCTGGCAGAGAGTGTATCTGCGTCTCGTTCAGCTCGTCTGCTGTTTCTGTTTCATGCAGATATTTTTTTATGTATAGTTTCACAAAACTGAAGTCAAACCATTCTGTCTTTGCTTCAAATTTCTAAATTATACAATCTAATTTGGATTAAAAACTGCTCATGTTGCATGTATGTAGCCTCTTTGTTTGGATCATAATTAAAATGCAGCGGTTGCCTCTAATTTTAAATGGAAAGAGCACAGACAAAGCCTTATTTTGCTTATATGAAGAGATTTCTTTTATTTGTGTTATTTATGTATTTGATTTGGGGCTTGTTTTAAAATTTCAATTTAGTTTTGTTATTTACATTTACATTATATTTAAATTTGGGTATTTAGCAGACGCTTTTGTCCAAAGCGACTTACAAATGAGGACAATAGAAGCAATCAAAACCAACAAAAGAGCAATAATATTCAAGTGCTATATTAGTATATTATTATAGTGTTATATTTCAATTTCACAAAGAAACATACAGTATTTTGTCCAAGCAATAATAAAAGGACACATTAAATTTATAATTTGTCTTAAATCTCATTTTGTAAAAAAAAAAAAATTGTGAGTTGAGTGAATCGTTACATCTCTATTAGTTAGTTAGTTAGTAGTCCATTTTGTCCCAGTACTAAATAAATACTAGTTTATTTGAGATGTTGTTTTGTCTTTGACTCCCAACAGCTGGAACAGGAACAGCAACCCTGAGCCCTGGAATAAGCTCAGTCCAAGCTACCAGTACAAGGTACATGAGCCCACTGTTGGCATCATAGAAGCAGTGTTAAGTATTTATTTGCTTTTAAGTTATTTTTGTTGTTGTTTTGTTTTGTAATTCGATGTCAGGGTACTATAACACAAAACACAGTTATGCAAGTATATCAATTAAAAAAACAACAACATGAAACATGTTAATTATTGTAGAAATGCCTCACAACAGCCTGTGAAAAAGGTCCATGCTTGTTAAAACCAACATTTGTCTCAGTTATGATTTGTCTAGTACAAATGTATTAGTATTAATTCTAGTTTAACGTTAATTCCACATTTATATTTAAACAGAGCAGGCTTTAGTTGCATTGAAATTGCGGGGGACCCCGAATAGGGGCTACAATAATCATCACCACCTTTAGCAGCACCTCTAGCAACAGCCCTGTAGCTAACTTATCATTTGCAAACATTTAATCACAGTTGCATTTTAGGTAACTGGGGAGCTGAGGATTGTTCATAGATGTGTGAGAAACAGAAATAGCGCTCCTCGAGAGAAGCACAGAATTTCAAAAGAATTGATGTGGGTTTATCTTAATGTCTTTAACGTTTCACCACTCGACCGAGCGGCTTCATCAGTGTAGAACAGGATGTGTTGGTATTTCCTGTGTTAATTCCCTGATGGTCTGAATGTGGCACACGAGCTGGGCTGACATGCCCAGCAGATCACGAGTCTCACTCCTTCAGCACAATTGGGAAGGAAAACGAAATGCTGGTCAATAAATGCATATAACATCACTGTCTGTCTCCACCTGCCATATACAATCGATGTTGCATGTTTTCTATTTTTTCTTCTTTAGTTTGTGGCCATTAACACAGACTACAAAAACCTGAAGAAGGAAGGACCAGACTTCTGAACATGTCACGGATGTTGCCTCAACTTTTGTCATGAAGATGCTGAGATGTCCTTGTGCCTCACTAGTCTAAATACACAATAATAATAATAGAGAAAATAAACTTGTAGGATGTAGGATCTTTTCTATATTTTTTATTTTAACCTTTATTTCTTCACTAAACACGCTGATAGTCATACTCACTAGCATGAGATAAAGAGCAGAATAAAGGACTAAACTAGTCTACTTTTATTCATGTGCATTAGACGTTAAGCTTTATAGAAATCCCCAAAGTTGCAGAGATAACATGACCTCCCTCTTGTGAGCATGAGAAAGGGCGAAAGGAAGACGAGCAGATGTTTGTCTTTCTGTAAACAGGACCTGAACAGCAGAGACTCATGGGAAGGAGACTGAGCTCCCTCAGGCCTGCTCTTGAAGTCTGTGATAATTTGGAAAAGCAGCCGTCTGTTCAGAATAATGCACATTGACATGTTTATCTTTGTCTCTCTCACTATATTTCTTTCTGCACTTATTACTGTCTTCATTTTTATATCACTGTCATCCATCTGTCATCATTCAACTTCATTTCAAGGTCTTCTGTACACAGTTTCTTCGGACTGGCAAGCCATACAAACAAACACAGGAAATAGGCAGATATTTTACTCTGAGTGTTTACTCTTCAGACCCCCAGAGAGTTTCAAATAATACATAAAAATTTAAGTTTTTTTTTTGTAAGCATTTTATCATTAGCTACCAACCAAAATCCTAGAAACTGGGGGGAAAAAACTGTTAAGATAAAAACACTTTGAATACTGAGAATGGACACGGAGCTTTATTTTACCCAGCTAAATTCAGTTACTGTTTTGAATTGTGCTAAAACACTTGAGGGTGTTTAATGACATGACTTTACACAGTATGAAATACAAAGATTGTTATATTTTCAAGAAGGTTCGACTGATGTTTTATGCAACACTCCCCACCACTACTAGGGGCTTATGTACATTGCATGGTGGGGCAGAATGTTGGTGCCTTTCAGTTCATGATTTGAAATACTGAATAGAACTAATAGAAATGTGCATTTGTTCATGCAGTTACGATTTAATTATTGATTTTGCATATTCTTGTATGAGAAATATATATTCTGTGTTTTAGGCGAGATTAATAAAGAATGCTGAAAAAAACATCTCTACAGTGTTTTATATATATATATATATGTGTGTGTGTGTGTGTGTGTGCACATACTGTATTTGTTGGTAACACTGGTGTACATGAATATTCACGCTACCATTTTGTTTAGTTTCTTTAAAAATCTTTAAGTTTATTGCCTTAAAAGCTTAAAAGGGACTGAATGCGTTATTGTGTTTACTACAGAAAAATAGACTGTACAATACTGTTTCTGTCACTTAGTTTGGAAGTTTGGACTTTCTGTTTCTGTCTTGTTAGTTGTCACGGTTTTTTATTTGATTTTGTCATTCAGTTCAGGTGTGTCTAGTCATTATCTTAGTTTGATCTGTGTATTTAAGTTCCTGTCTCTTCAGTGTTAGTTGTCGGGTCTCGTCAATGTTATGTGTGTCACCAGCCTTCCATTACCTTGGAATGATCTATCTGTGGATTTATTAAAGACTGTTTTCCTTAATCTTCGTCTTCGTGTGTGTTCATCGATACAGTTATTGTGACAGTTTCTTCTACTTCTATCATATTTCTATAGATTTAGTTGGCAAGAAGGCCCATTCATTCAACAAGTTGCTCATTCATTCCTGTGAGGAAAACAGGGAGAAATGTCTGATTCGGGTTCAAAAAGGTAGGATAGGGTGAAAAACTCCATCTCATTTTCTCCTCCAACTTCAAAATCATCCGACATCGTTGTTTTACAACAAGCTCAAGTCAAGTGAAGTCACCTTTATTTGTATAGTGCTTTATACAATACTGACTGTGTCACAGCAGCTTTACAGTGTCAAACAGGAAAATAGTTTGTCAATAATGCAAGAGGGCAATAACAAAGAGTAATTTTTTTCCAGCTATAGTCAGTGCATTGATGATTCAGTGATACCATCGTCCAGTTCAGCTCTCTTCCAATAGTGTCTGTGCAATCAGTCAAGCATCCCCAACTAAGCAAGCCAAAGGTGACAGTGGCAAGGAACCAAAACTCCATCAGTGACAAAAATGGAGAAAAAACCTTGGGAGAAACCAAGCTCAGTCAGGGGGCCAGTTCTCCTCTGGCCAGACGAAACCAGCATGGCATGGTTTAATTCCAGGCTGCAACACAGGTCAGATTTTGCAGAGGACTCGTTTGGTTCCCGTGGTCTTGTGTCGATGGTCGTCGAGGTGATGAGGTCTTCACAGGGGATCTGTCTCTGGGCCGCATCTAGTTGACATGGTCTCTGCTGACATTCAGGGCTGTAGAGCTTCATCTCTAGGTGCTGATCCACCATCTGTTGACGCGGACAACGACGCAGAAGTATAAATTGACGCATAGCCTACGGCGTAGGTTCGACGCAGGAGTATAAATCAGCCTTTAGTTTTATTTTCCAAAGATAACTCCGAGCTGCAGTCACTGTTATTGCTTTCCCTTGTGCTTTTCTCCCAGGAATTTGGAATATACTCACATTTGCTATCACCACGAGTCATCGGATTCTGAAAGACTCCTCTGAATCTTTCAAAAAAGACAAGTATTTCTCAAATGAATCGCATATAGCACACATTTACACACACACACACACACACACAAACAGATCTGCACAACATACAGTGCAAATTTACACAAACACACACAGCACAGATGCACACAAACACTCAAGATGTATACAGTGCAGTTTTACACAAACACAAGTCCCATACAGATCTACACAAACACAAGAATGGCTGTTTTTCGTGTGGGTATGTTGCAGTCCTGGAATTGTGAATAGTTTTACGTCATACTATATCTGGTCAGTATTTAATACTTTGGTCAATAACTCATTAATTTGTTGACATAATATGGTAACTGTTTTTTTTTGTTTGTTTTGTTTTGTAAAGTATGAAATGTAACAGTAACACCAAGAATCCTGTATATGTTGAGGTTGACAAAAAACTGAGATATGTAGGGCAGTGGGCTATGCGAAGATCTACACACATACACACATGAATGCCTGTTTTTAATGTGAATGTTGCAATCTTGCAATTCTGAACATGCAGTTTTTAAGACTGTATACAATAGCTCGTTTAAATAAAGATTTGTAATTTGTAAATGTTTTAAGTAAACATTTGTGCTTTTATACAGTTTCCATATGTAGGCTATTCATGTATATGTTTTGTGGAAACTTTGGGTTTGACATTACCCACTTGCTGAAAATATAATAGTGAAGCTGCAAATAATGCAGTATGATGTGATGTTGGAATGGGTTTCATGTTACACATGTGCTCCACATGTTCTAACCTATGGTAACATCTTTTCCACATGTGATGTTTTATTAACAAGTTTCGGGAGGAGCGCGCACAGATAATTAACACGGCCAGTTCATCATCAGTAATTACACCATCTATCCAATCAGCTCAAGAGAGAACCTCTATAAATAATCAAAGCAGCCTTACCTCCATTATCTCCCGTCCTTAGCATCCTTTGCACCATGTCAGACATCGAGCTTTTCCCGGACGATAACGAATTCGACACCACGGGTCCTCCGGTGTCTTCAGTCGCCGTCCAGCACACCAGCGCTCCGCAGGACACCATAAGCGAGCCCGCGGCTGCAACTCGGGGCCGCCGGCCCTCCCGCGCCGCCATCGCGCATACCTCCAGGCACCGAGGCACGCCATCACCTGCGCCTTCAAGGCGTCAGCCACCTTCTCCAGCGTCCTCCTACGCCTCAGCCCTCTCCCCCGCCCCAGCTGCGGAGAAATGGACCGTGGCAGAACTACGCCAGGCGCTCGTCAGCTCCGGCGTCAGCATCCCACGACGATCAGCCAAGGCAGATCTCCTCGCCCTCTACACTTCCCTCCTAACAGGGGCGCCTCCAATCTTCACTCCTCCATCCAAGGCCGCGGACAAAGCGAGCCAGGGCCGTAGTGTTCCATACTCACGGCCCGGATTGACCACCACTCCTTCGAAGACGGGCTTCCGGCCAGTAGGCCGCAGCAAAAAGCCTTCGGCAAGCCTGGGCCGCGCCCCGGATGCCGCCAGCCCCAGACC